CCCCCCCCCCCCAATCAAAGGGCAGAAAGGATAATCTTCATCCAGAGGATCTGAAATAGTCACGGCAGCTGTTGCCACTTGTTTATGATGTAATTAAATTTATTTGATAAGATCATCGGTAGTAGGATGTCTAATTTATTTGGAAACTGCAGACAGGGAGAAGCTGGGACCAAATTAGTATTCAGCAGGGACGACACGGTGCAGATTCCATATGGCTTCCTTACTTCTCCTATAAATAGACTCTGAGCCCACCCCCTTCACCCCCGTGTACGTTACATTTTCTGCTCTACCAGTATATTGCAAAGTTCATCAATGGAGTCAGCGGATCTGTCTGATGGAATAGGTGCAAGCCCGGGACTGACTTCGTATGCAGAAGGGACCCAGCCAAGCAGGCTCTGTAGCACTCTGCATCCTCTTCAGCACAATTTTGCAAGACATTGGGGAACAAGGGTTTCTGTTTTTGCCACCAGAGATGAAACTGGTTCTTTGCTTGTAGGCATCTGAAACCCATCCAAATGAAGCAGAAACTTTTTTTTCCCTCTGCTTTGGCTTTTTTTAAGGCCGGGCACCGAGTTTCCTTCTGTGTAATCTATTTTGGTGGGAAGGAAAAGATGGGGAGGGGGGAGAAAAAGAAAAAAAATGGTAAGCAAGCACTGTATTGGCACAGAGAAGACTTAAATGATATCCCGGGGAAGAAGGAAAAGAAAAAGAGAGGGGGGAGAAAGAGGCACTGATGCCAATTTCCACCCCCGCTCCTAAAGGGAATTCTATACCCTGTAGAAACAGGTAGCCTGAATTATCTACGGTACAGCAAACCACTCCTACCGCCCCCACTCCCCCTCTATGATCATCGAAATTATATAAAAAAAATACAATGCAATAAGCCACGGTTCAACGTTCCAAAGAGACCGCCACAAAGCCACCAAATCCAGCATGAAACAGTATAGACTGCAGGGGAGGAAGGAATGCATTTAAAGCCACGATAAAAATGGCGTGCAGTATAATTACCTCAAATTCCTATTCGCTTGACACCCTGACACTAATTCTATTCACGCCATTGGGAAATGAAAGAAGGCAAAGGCACTCTCCTCGGATGCTACAGCAGGTGCATGTGTGTGCGGGGACGTGTGTGCATGTGTGCGTGTGTGAGAGCATGGGGGCAAGAGGGATTGGAGGGCACGCTAAACTTTCCATCGGAACAGAAAAGAAAGATGAAATCATCCGTTTAGAAGAAAGCGCCTAAACGGATCGACAGCTTTTAATGCCAACATTTCCAACGCTTGCCCTGTACGTGGATTGATTTTTTTTTCTCCAGCATTCCATCAGCAGATGGATTTTTGCCACTGCAGCTCAGCAGAGGGTGTCAGATCTTTCAGAGTGCACCAGGTTGGAACGAGCAGAGCCTCTTAGCAACTCTCCCTCTGCGTGGATGTGAGTGCGTGTGTGCGTGTGCAACTCAGCCCCACAAGAAGGAGGAAAGAAGAGAGCTCGCGGAGGGAAGACAGGAGAGAAGCGGCAGGCAGGCAGAGAGAGAGGAGGAGAAGCAGAAGAAGGAACCGGAGGAGGAGAGAGACACGGGCAGCCCCCCAAAAACGCAGCGATTGCAGAAATTTTGCAGCGCCATTGGTTCGGCAGCCGGGCTTGAGGCTGGGGCGTGATTTCAGCACCAAGGGGGACTGGACAGCACCCAGAGGGGGACTCCCGGGCACCGAGCAGCGGCGGCGGCGGCAGCAGCAGGCAGGAGCCGGCTTTGCAACAGAGAAAGCAAGGTCAGTCCGAAGCAAAGCCATACACACAGGCAGCTCTCCTCTACCACCGCTGCACTCTCTGCCTGCTTCTCCCTAACATGCAGTGGCTGCTTCTAATTACTAGCACTGTTCCTATTCCGATTAGCCGAGCCGGCCAGCAGAGATCTACTTAGCTTTCCGGGAGGCTGGGGGGGAGGGAGTCGAGAAGGGGGGATTTTTTTCCTTCCACTTTTTTTTCTGGCTTTTAATTTTTATTTTTTGTATTATTATTATTATTTTTTTGGCGTGCCTTGCAGTACGTGCCTGGATAGTTTGTGGATATAATTATTGACTGGAGTCTGTTGCAGTGTATGCGGGGGGGGAGAGAGGGATCGAGGAGAAAAAAGAGTCCCCCTCCCCCGACCCTGCCTACTCCCCCTTCCCACAATTGCTCTCCCCCCCTTCTTGGTGGTGGCTCGGACATCTCATGCATTGAATGGACTGGAATTGTTTTCGGTGTGAGGAGGATGGTGGCTGTTACTTTGTGATGAGCTCGGGAATGAATCGCTCGGTTTAAAAATGCTGCTTTGGATTCTGTTGCTGGAGACGTCTCTTTGTTTTGCTGCTGGAAACGTTACAGGGGACGTTTGCAAAGAGAAGATCTGTTCCTGCAACGAGGTAGAGGGGGATTTGCACGTAGACTGTGAGAAAAAGGGGTTTACCAGTCTGCAACATTTCAGCGCCCCGACTTCCCAGTTTTACCATTTATTCCTGCATGGAAATTCCCTGACTCGGCTTTTCCCTAATGAGTTCGCTAACTTTTACAATGCAGTCAGTTTGCACATGGAAAACAACGGCTTGCATGAAATCGTTCCTGGGGCTTTTCTCGGGCTGCAGCTGGTGAAGCGGTTGCACATCAACAACAACAAGATCAAGTCGTTCAGGAAGCAGACTTTCCTGGGGCTGGACGATCTGGAATATCTCCAGGCAGATTTCAATCTCTTGCGGGATATTGACCCGGGAGCGTTTAGGGACTTAAACAAGCTGGAGGTGCTGATTTTAAATGACAACCTCATCAGCACCTTGCCTCCCAACGTGTTCCAGTACGTGCCGATCACTCACCTCGACCTCCGGGGAAACCGGCTTAAAACCTTGCCTTATGAGGAGGTCCTGGAGCAGATCCCAGGCATTGCTGAAATCCTGCTAGAGGACAACCCCTGGGACTGCACTTGTGATCTGCTCTCCTTGAAGGAATGGCTGGAAAACATACCCAAAAACGCTTTGATCGGCAGAGTCGTTTGCGAAGCTCCCACTAGGTTGCAGGGCAAGGATTTAAATGAGACCACAGAGCAGGAGCTGTGCAAAAAGAGCAGAGTAGATTCTAGCCTCGCTGCTCCCCCTGCTGAAGAGGAAACCTGTGATCCTGGTCCCATTCCAACTCCCTTTAAAATACATGGCAAAGAAGATCCTGCCACTCCAGGAGCTGCTCCAAACGGAGGTACAAAGATCCCAGGCAACTGGCAGATCAAGACCAGACCTACCGCGGCGGTGTCGACCATTAGCGTCAAAAACAAGCTCCCGCCTAGCCTGCCCTGTCCTCAGATCTGTAGCTGCGATCAGATCCCCGGCTCGGGCTTAAAGGTTAATTGCAACGACAGGAACGTGAGCAGCCTGGTGGACCTGAAGCCCAAGCCGGCCAACGTGCAGGAGCTGTTTCTGCGGGACAATAAAATCCACACCATCAGGAAGTCCCACTTTCTGGATTATCGGAAACTGAACCTGCTGGACCTGGGGAACAACAACATCGCCACGGTGGAGAACAACACCTTCAAAAACCTGCTGGACCTCAGGTGGCTCTACATGGATAGCAACTACTTAGACACCCTGTCCCGGGAGAAATTCGCCGGGCTCCAAAACCTGGAATACCTGAACGTGGAGTTCAACGGCATCCAGCTGATCCTGCCTGGCACCTTCAACGCCATGCCTAAGCTGAGGGTGCTCATCCTCAACAACAACCTGCTGAGGTCCCTCCCCGTCGATGTGTTTGCAGGGGTCTCCCTCTCCAAGCTGAGCATCCACAACAACTATTTCACGTACCTCCCGGTGGCGGGGGTGCTGGACCAGCTCACCTCCATCACCCAGATCGACCTGCACGGCAACCCGTGGGAGTGTACGTGCCCTATTGTGCCTTTCAAACAGTGGGCCGAGATGCTGCGCCCCAAGGTGATCATGAGCGACCTGAGGTGCGAGTCCCCGGAAGACTTCTTCAAGGAGGATTTCGAGACCCTCTCCAACGACGTGATCTGCCCGCAGCTCAAAGTCGCGCCCACGGTGGCTTCCACGAGCAAGAACAGCACCGGCTTGGCGGAGACGGGCACTCACTCCAACTCCTACCTGGAGACCAGCAGGGTCTCCATTTCGGTGCTGGTCCCCGGACTCCTGCTGGTGTTTGTGACCTCTGCCTTCACAGTGGTTGGCATGCTGGTCTTCATCCTGAGGAACAGAAAGCGGTCCAAGCGGAGGGACGCCAACTCATCCGCATCCGAGATCAATTCCTTGCAGACAGTCTGCGACTCTTCTTACTGGCACAACGGCCCCTACACTGCAGACGGAGCCCATAGAGTGTATGACTGTGGTTCTCACTCCCTATCAGACTAAGAGCTGGGGTCGCAGAGGGG